CAGCGCCGCTGAGGAGAAAATGGGCAGACATGGGACACGGTGAATAGGAGTGGTGCGCGGCATGCGGGTGCGACGGCAGTTCCACCGCACGTACGACTCGCAACCGCGGCTTCTCCGAGCGAGAAACCAGCGTGCGAGCAAACTGACAACCCTCCACACACCAGCCTCATCCTACAGGGCACGCGAAAACTGCTTCAACGTGTCAAGATTCTTACAAACTTAACTGGACGGTGATTCAGACGTGTGGGCGAGTTTCAAGATTGCCACACGTGTGGGCATTAGTATTTTCATACTATTAAGCTTAAGCTTCATGCACTAGCCAAACGCAACAAAAAAACCAAACTCGATAATTTATTATTTTTATTTAATGGGTTTTAAACCTTGAACCTTTTAGTTGTGAATTGTAGTCACTTGTTGAAATCTTTAAAAAGACTTATATTTAGGAACGGAGGGAGTATAAAGTTAGTATAAAGTTGAGTCATTTATTTTAAAACTGAAGGGGTACTTTAAAAGACATGAGTGGAGAGTGGAAGGCGATGCGGGCGCACGAGGTCGGTGGGAAGGGAGGACCAGCCAGCAAAAGCCATGGCTGGAAGAACAAATACCATTCATTTCTCAATGTTACGTATACCAGGCTAATTAACGGATGTGCTGCATATGCTGCTGCAATGATACTATCATATCATGGCCGATGGGGTCTTGTATACCTACTCGTATTGAATACTCTTCATATTTCTCCTTCATATTTATTGGCTCTATATTAGGGCCGCTGGCTGGAGAGTACTGGAGTATTTGCCAGAACTGTGTCCAAAGTCCAAACGCGATTGGATCTTTTCACTCTTCCCGTCACACTCGGGGCAATCATACTCCACAAAGAACAAGGGTGTGGGGAGGAGCCCAAGCCGGCCCGAGTCCAACATGGTCATGGAGGAGGAGGCGACACTGCTCCCGAGCAGCTCGGCGTGCGAGGAGATCGGAGGGGACGAGAGCTTGGCGGTGGGCGACGAGGTGAAGAGGCAGCTGTGGCTGGCCGGGCCGCTCATCGTGCGAGGCCTGATGCAGAACCTGATCCAGATGATCTCCGTCATGTTCGTAGGCCACCTCGGCGAGCTGCCCCTCGCCGGCGCCTCCATGGCCAGCTCCTTCGCCGCTGTCACCGGATTCAGCGTGCTGGTACGTATCACTCCGCGTGGCCATTCTCATTTATACCATCCGTCGACTTCAAACAAAGTACTGATCGCTTTGAAAAAGACTGCCGGATCCCTGGAGGGACGACGCGCAGGTTCTGTATTTGTTTTCTCTTCCTTGGACCTGCTGTCTCATGCTAGTTTATTCTTTTTTTTTTTGCGGGAATGCTAGTTTATTCAACATAACACCTTCACCGTATTACAACAGAGAAGTCACCAGATCAAAATGAACCAACTATTTGAATATTCAATTCGGAGCCTAGGCCGAACACTAAATTCAAAACAAATACTAGAAAACAAAATCTGTCAACCAAGATACTCAAATGCATGATGTCCGGCCAAAATTACGTGGTGTTTGGACATTTGAGAACCTCGTGGCAAAAAGACAAATTCACATCCGAACAGTGCGTTTTTTCAAACTTTTTCACGGACCCCTCTTTTTTTCCTGAGAGCTACTCAGATATTCAAACACACGGATATCACGCACTTAAGCATCTTCCATGCAATTTCTTAAAAAAAATTATTTCTTTTATTTTTTTACTATTTACGCTCGGAAGTAGCTGAGCTTGGGAACCGAATCTCTCTGTCTCCAAGTATTCATCATTTTTATGTGTATCAATCATCAAAATTGCAAAAGGAGAAAGCCATCACGTACAAATGTTCGTCCGGGCTGTTTTATTGATGAAGTGATGAGTGTCTTTCCAACTGATGCATGCATGCATGTGCTCTTTGGATTTTTCCGCCGCTAGTTAGATCTTAAGGCAACTCACCTAATCAATCACAAATGTGTTGGAACACTTTTAGCAATCCAACTGCGTCATATAATATGTCTGGTCTGGTCCGGGCATTCGAAAACCAGCAAACCTACACTAAACTGGTAGAGGTTTGGCGGAGTCCGGGCATCTGCCCTGTCGGACTCCGACACCACCATCCCGTCACTCCTCCCACGTGAAAGTCCATTCCTTCTGTTGCCTCCACCTCTATCGCCGCCGTCCCATCTCTGTTCCCCCGTCCGCTGCAGGAGCCAATCAGAACGTCCGTCATCCTGCTCGACCCGGAGGTGGCCACTGGCAAGGTCGCGTCCACTCTCCGCCCAGGTCGGCGCGTCAAGGCGAACAAGGTGGAGAAAGCGGTGGCGGCCGGTCAGGCGGGAGCTTGTCACCAACGGCGAACCGTCGGGCCAGTGCCACCCGGGCAATGGAAGGCACCGCTTTCTCCGCCTTCTTTGTCAACGTTTGTTCAAGAATGCCATGCTAGCAGGATGAAAAAGAGGATGCACAAACGCTTTATGTAAAAGAAGAATAAAAAGGAGGCCGAAACTGGAGGTCTTTAGCACGGACAAACGGAATTGGGGCTTTTGGGATCGATGGATGTGTAAAAACGCAATGAACATCTGATTGGGCAATAAATATTGGGAGTACCTAAAACTCATCTAGATGAGATATAATTTGATCTCATTCACATGAAAAACAAAAACAGATAAAATCCACGTTAGCACACACGTATCTTATAGCATCACATTCAATGGCTATAAAAGGTGAATGAGACCAACTTATATCTCATCTAGATGAGTTCTAGCAAAACTGATAAATACTTGGGCTATTTTGAGCACAGCCACCCCTTTGTTCCACGTCACTGCTGACCCTCACGTGTTGTGCGTCTATATACTCGGAAATCTGAACACGAGCGACTCCTTCCACTCTCCCCCGCACACACTCTCGCGGCAGTCATACACAACACATAGAGCAAGGGTGAGGGGGGAGGAGGCCTCGCCGGAGTCCAACATGGAGAAGACAAGCCTCGAGGAAGCGCTCCTCCCGAGGAGCCCGGTGTGCAAGGAGCTCGGAGAAGATGAGAGCCTGGCGGTGGGCGACGAGGTGAAGCGGCAGCTGTGGCTGGCCGGGCCGCTCATCGCCGGCTGCCTGATGCAGAACTTGATCCAGATGATCTCCGTCATGTTCGTCGGCCACCTCGGCGAGCTGCCCCTCGCCGGCGCCTCCATGGCCAGCTCCTTCGCCGCCGTCACCGGATTCAGCCTGCTGGTACGTACGTACTACCATTCCGCGTGGCCATTCTCATTTATACCATCCGTCGACTTCGCAACACATGTACGCAGTACGCTTCTCATCGCCGGATCGAAAGCTCGCATTGCGGCTTCCTGGGAGCGACGAAGCGCGAGTTCTATTTTTCTTTTTCTTTTCGTTTCTCTTGGCCTGCTGGTTCATGCTAGTCCATTAACATGGCATCTTCGTCGACATATCACAACAGAGAATTCACAGATCAAATCAGTCAATCAATTAGAGAAGGAGGAGATCAGCTTTCGCCTGGACCGTTGTCTGACGAGTTGCTGTCCGTCGAACGCATGTGCTGTCTGTATTTTCGGCCGCTAGCTAGCACGGTCCTGGACCAGTAGTTTATCTGTAAGATGACAAAAATCACTGATATGTACGTACTGTTAGTGTTGCGGGGCACTGACAAGTACTTTCAACATATGCGATTATTCTTAATCCCCTGATGAAGGGAGTATTAACCATTGGTCACCCAAGAAAGAAAACTGTGATTAGCTACTAGCAGACGACACACTGTACAGAACATGATTCTGACTGTGAAGTGTACTTCGAACAAAATACATATTGAACTTTACTACTCCCTCCGTCTCATAATGTAAGACGTTTTTTGATTCTATCATAGTGTCAAAAAACGTCTTATATTATGGGACGGAGGGAGTAGAAAATACTCCTATTGCAACCCTTTCAATCAATTCCTAGTCAATGCTTTTGCTCCAAATAACAACCATTTCAATCAATTTCAAGACAAACCTAGCTAAGGACATTTCCAACGCCGACCCTTAAACCTGCCGCAACCGTTCAGACTGTGGGAGCCATTCAACGCCGATCTGTATCGGTCCACAGAGTGGTCCGGATGCGATTTCTCCCGCAAATCCGTGACAAATATGGGGGAGGTTTGCGGGAGTCCGAACACGCGAAACGTCGCTCTCCGCCTCCCTGGCCCACCCAAAAGGAGGGCCGAGCCCGCGCTTTTGTAGCACGATGCATTGTTTCTGTACCAAAATCCCCCACTCTCTTCTTCCACTCCCCGCCCAATTCTGGCTCTTTTCTCCCACCCCTCCTTCCCTCTGCCGCCGACGCATGGAACCGTCGGACAACTTGTCGGAGATGGAGGCGGCGGAGGTGCGGGAGGATCCGGGCATCATGCTTACCCGGAAGATCACCTCAGAGACGCGGCAGAATCATCGCGTCAAAGCAAAGGCCGCAAAGGAGAAGATGATGAAGCGTCTGGCCGCCGGTGGGCCTGGTGGCGGCGCTGGTCGTGGCGGACGGGCGGTCGGCGAGGCCGTGGCGCACGCCGCCAGACGGGCGCACCCACAGTACTGACGGCGCCGTGGCCGGAGCCTTACAAGCCTTCGTACTACTACGCCGCCGAGCAGCTCGCCAACCCCGCCGGTACGGTTCCTTATATCGTCAATGTTAACACGGCGCCGCTCTTCTCCGAGTATGCTTTGTCGTCGCTCGTTCGGGCGAGGACGGCAGGAGGAGAGCAGATGGGTGCCCGCGCGCTGTTTGCTGCAGTGCCGAAAACGGGGGAGCCGGCGTGCGATGTGGACAGGGAGATGCTCGATATCATCCACGACGGGGGCGAGGGAGGAGGAGGGGGCCACAATGTAAAAACTAAGCATATTTGCCTCATTTTGGTTGTGATCGGGGATGCGATCTAGCGGAGGTGTGATCCAGCGTGCTTTGTGGATCAGCGTAGATTTGAATTTGAATTTGCTGGCGGACGGCTAGCGTTGGATGGTTGTCTCCCGCATTTGGAAGATTTTTTTATAGGTTGCCATTGAAGATGCACTAGGATCAAGCAATCACAAGCAAAAGACAAGAATTTTAATTACCTCTAATTTAACAATTCACATTGAATTGTACTTATCTTATTGGGTTAATTATCCTTTTGCCCTCAGTGGTGTCCATGTGTTCAGGTTTGCCCTCAGATGCGAATTGTCCTCAGTTTTGCCCCTAGTCCGAGCACAGCAACTACGACGAGGCCAAACGGCCATATTTGAGTCCATTCCGTCCGCCGGCGTTAGTAGTTGTGGGTCCGGAGCTTACACGTGGGACCGCGTGGACGTGGGTCCGGACCTGACATGTAGGCCCCTGCAACTAAATTCCCAAATCATTCTAGCTCACACCCATCCGCCCGGCCGGCTGTCCTGCGCCGCCGCCGCCGCCACCTGCGCCGCGGCCAGCACCTGCCCCGCCACCATTTGCACGGCCTACTCCGCCGCTACCTCCCTGCGCCTACGCTCCACGGCTCATTGTGACGCCCACCACCTTGCTGCGACGCCACGGGTGGGGCGCCCGCCACCTGCTCGATTCGCGGCGCGGCCTCCTTCCGTGCGCCCGGCCGGAGCGCTCAAAGGTGGGGGGCTGCTGGAGCTATTTGAAATAGGAGGAAGAACCCTAGGGCGAAATGGTGAGCAGCGGCGACCCCGGAGTATTTGGCGAGGCAGGCATCGGGCCGGAGATCCGCCGCGTCCACGACTGGGTTCCCGAGGGGTAAGTCTCGCCTCTTGTTTAGATTGAGCTTAGTTGTGCATTTGAACACTCGATTCAAGTAGGTTTGCCCAATTAGTGTGCTGATTGCGTCTCTGTTTTTCGCCGGTTAGGATGGAGTTGCGGTTTGCTTTCATGGTGCACATTAGAAGGGACCGGTACATGTTCGATGCAAAGGATAAGAAGAAATACCAAGGAGGTTTTGATTATCGGTTGCCAATGGCTAGTAATTGGAGTTTCAGACAATTTGGGGAGGTAATTTGTAGCCAATATCCTTGGGGTTTGCTTGATGAAGTGGTATACAAATACTATGATGGGGAAAAGAATTGGGTGACAGTTAGTAATGATGAAGAGCTAGCTACCATGTTTGTTAGGCATAAAGAGAAAGATAATTTTCATGTGAGGCTGCAAGTTGATGTGCTTGAGCAGGCATTTGGACCTAGGATGGCGGGTGCAACATCTCGGGGAGAATCAAGTCGTCG